GTGTGTCATTGTTGCTAGTGTGCATTAGCACTTCCCCTCCCAGAGTGGCAAGATGATGCCTCCTGGGAGGAGGGGGTGCAGAAAGGTCAGCGAGGGGAGGGAATGCTTTCATCCCAGGCCTTGTATTAACAGCAGCAGCAAAAGTGAGTGGAAAAGCAACAAGAGAATTTGTATATACATTGCACAGGATGCCATTGTGCTTTGTGCACTATTCTAAATTGTTTTCTAACATGCTTGGGAAAGAAGGAACTCTCCCTCCCCCCATCTTACTTCCTCCTCCAGACATGATTTTATACAGCTCACCACTATTTAAAGACAAATCTATGCAAAACTCACATTGTCTGAGAGAGGCCAGTATGGAAGCATTCAAAGTTGTCCTCATCCCTTTAAATGCAACGTTGTTCTTACCCTTCTAAGTGCCTAAGCTCTCCTTGGAGGACTATGCATCCAGCCTGGGAAAAAGAAGGGAGAGTTCCTCCTTCTTGGTGTTTGAAATGACTGGCACAGTCCAGAGAACCATCTGCTGCTTCCGTCTCTGCCAGCTTCCCCTAAAATGTGCTCAGCTGCCTCACCCGCGACTATGGGAGCAGTTGGGAGAGCTTTTGCTGAGCAGTGAATATCCCTCTTCTGGTTTGGTGCTGTTTGGACTTCGGCAGGCATTGATTTGCTCCCAGATTCTGAGGAGGACAGCCCAGACTGCTGCGTCCTGCCGAGAAACTGAGGAGGGAAGAGAAATGGGAGACCGAGCTCGCCATCTCCTGGAGAAAAAGAATTTGCGCTTTCAGGAATGTTTCTTTTGTTACGGCATCCTTTGATTCTCACTCTGCTTTCATTCACACCTGCCCAGAGTGTCGGCGGGAGATGGTCAGGTGCTGTTCCGAGCTGGGCCAGCAGTACCAGTTTAGAAGGCTGGAAATACTCAGCTAAATGGTTAATTTATCAAATTCTCTCGGTGCCATTTAGGCTTGAGTGTTTTAGCTAACTAGCAGGACTGTAAATCTAGGCTCATTTCCTAGTCTCTGTTAAGTTTAGCCTGGTTATTTGGAAAAGGTTCTTTCCCCAGAGGGTTGTTGGGCACTGACCAGGCTCCCCAGGGAAGTGGTCATGGTATCAGCCTGTCAGAGTTGAAGCAGTGTTGGGACAATGCTGTCAAGCACATGGTGGCATTGTTGGAGCTGTCCTGTGCAGGGTCAGCAGCTGGACTCCATGACCCTTGTGGGTCACTTCCAACTTGGGATATTCCATGATTCTTTCTTTGCTAAAGGCCAATGTTACAGAAAGCTTAGGAAGTTTGTGAGCTTGCAGTGCCTGCTCTGACTCTGTTGTAGTCCCTCTTCTTCCTGTGACACTCAGTAAAATACACTAGTGAATTGTCACAGGGTGGGTGTGCTGTGTTGGTATTTTTGTTATGTGTTTCATGGGTACTTTAGCAGCAGCGTTGTCAGTGGAAGGACTCTTAGGCACTAAAAAGTCCAGAAAAGAGGTTCATAAAGCATCAAGCTGCAACAGTCAGGTTCTTACATGCTTAAAAGGGGAAGGGCTGTTTGGCCACTGATCCTTACAGCAAGGCTTCTAGTGCACACCTATGGTTTTTTGAGTGTAGCTGAAAAACTCAAGACTTTTAGCACATTCTCATCAGCCTTGCTATAAACGTGTCCCTGCTGGAGTTTGTGAGGTTTAATTCACTGGTGCTTGTAGTGCAGCTGTCTTCAAGCAGGGGCCAGATGAATGTGGATCATGAGAGCAGATGGAAATCCTGGGCAGGGTGAGCACATATTGATGGTGGGTAAGCCAAGGTGTTGCATTGTAATGATACAGGGCTGTGTTGGTGCAGTGATAGTGGAGACTAAGGTACATAATGTTAACCAAGTTATACCTTGGAGACGTCAGTTAATAAGGCAGGTCCAAGCATCACAAGCATTATTAATCTGTTACATTAAAAACAGAGCAAAAAATCAGCAGCTACTTGCACAACATTTGTTCAGACAGGGGGAAAAATACATGAGTTTGTGTAATTACTGTGTCATGGACTAAAGTTTCTGACTAAGGGGTCAAAATGTTAGAAAAGGGTCTGGGGAGGTGGGATTCCTCAACTTCAAGTGCTGCCACTCTACAGCCTAGTGAGATTAATCTTTTAAGGGTATATAAAAGAGTGGTAAATGGGTAAATGTATTAAACTGCTACTTTTGTAGGGGTTATTTTAACTCAGAATAACCATAGTTATAGAACAGCTGACAAAATTACACCACTAGGGATGTTGTTGTTTGTACCAAAAACTGAGATTAAGCTGGACCGTTGTGGTTTTTAAGAGAGATGTTCATTTAAAAAGAGGGCTATCCCAGATAGGTCTCTTGATCCCAAAATGACTTCTTCAATCCTGATCTGGGCAGGTGGCTCCATCTATATTGTTAAAGAAACTTTATTATTCCCAGGGAAGATTAGCTGCAAAAAAATAGAAACTAACATTTTTAACTTAGGTCAAAACAATTCTAAACCAGATTACTAGTAACAAAATAACTTGTTTGATGTGAAACAGTAAGACCTCAGTTATAAACTAAGCATAAACTTTGTATACATGTTAGTTTCAGAAGAGCTTGAATATATAAATTCCATGTATTAAACTCAAAACTTAGAGTAATTATTAGATCTTTACCAAACCATCATGAGTCTTAGAAAGTCTTCTACAATTTTAAACCAGAGTTTAAAGATCAGTAATTGAAGTAGAAGCTAGGAACCTTAAAGGCATTTTCTTTCTAAGCTTTTCTTGCTCTCAATCACACCTACACAATTTTTAGTCTGAACACCCTAAAGTGCACAATTTCTTGCAATAAAAGCTAGCATTGTTTGTGTTGTTTTGAATAATATAAAGTAGGCTTTATTGTTTGTAATGCTTTTTCAACACTTTGACACAGATTCAACACAATGTCTGATTGTGAAATTACAATTTGAATTTAACTTGCATACTGTGTTTTACAAATAAGTTTATCACTGTTTTTCTTACTGTAACGGAATTAGCATCATTACCAAGTGTTCATGCAGAAAGTGAATTTTCTGTTTCTCAAATACTGGAATGAGCATGGAGCTTTTAAGCTCCACTTCACAATGAAGGCTTGTGGTTTCCTGGCAGGAGTTCATTCAGGTGATTCACATACTGTGACAGTTCATTCTTTAGTAATGTCCTTGGACAATCCTCCAGAAACACTTGTGGTGATGACCCCGTTCAAGGGAGATGCAAACTGTTAAGTGAAGAATGGCCACTGCAATTCTGAAAGGCACAGAATATAGAGCTTACAGGCTTAGTCATCAAAAGTGGTCAGGGATTTTACTGCTTCTTAAATAGGACTGAAAAACGGAAAGGCAAGAAAGAAGTAAGCAAAAGAGGACAGTGTTGGCACAGTAACAAACTGGTAACAGAGAAGAGATGAATCCATCATCTCTTAGGCTAGCCCTACCAAATAGCAGCAATATGTGGAGGGAGGATGAAAATCTAACTCATTTTAAGAGAGCAATAACTTTATGAAAAAGATCACATATGATTGCCTGCAGTAGCAGGCAATTTATTCTCTTTCTGTGTAGCAGTCTCCATAAAAAGGACTTTAATGTGAAGTTCTCCTGCTGTCTGGGTAATGACAGTCCTACTCAGCCTCCTTTGTTTTACGTACCTTTTTCTGAGCAGTCTCAGCTCTTCTGGCTAAGGAGATAAGAGTCCACAATAAAATACCTAACAATTTAGGCGAAGATTTGAAGGCAAGCTCCCACAGCATCCTAAATATTGGGCTAGAAAATACCAGTGTCTTCTTGCAGAATGACTTGACATCTACCCCTTGCAGTCACCAGATGTTTGGCATGTCTCTGGTTCAGTGGGCACACTCCTTTTGGTTAAGACTCCACAAGCAACTTTTAGCTACCTGCAGAAAGCTCCACTCTGCCACCAGAAAAGCCTTTTCAGTTTTAAATCTTCCTTTTCTTTACAACTATTCTATAGCTGTATAATTGTTTTACATGAGAACAACTATCAGTTCTTCATTGCATTGGACCCCTACATTTTGACTATAACTTTAGTGTTTACCTCAAGAATTTCCTCTGTGTTTTGACTTCCTCAGCTCCTCTAGCACTACAGTACTTCATCCTGAATTATTTACCTCCTCAGTGATTCTTACCTTCTAAGACACTACTATATAAACTATTCATTTTTGGGGGTTTTTTTTAAGGCAACAAAATTTCCTCAAACTGAAGCACTGTTAGAGATGTCTTTCACAACTTGAGTCTTACAGAACCTACTCTTAAATATCCATCTCCTCCATTTGAGATGTCCAAATTATACATGAAATGTACCAGTTTGCCTTGATACTATACTAAGCATTATAATCTTTGCTCAAGACATTAACAAGGGACTTGCCTCTCAGTTGATCTTGATGCATGAGCTGCATTTCATGAGCTCCATTATCTTTTAAAGGCACAGCCTTCACTTACACTTATATTCTAGCCTGCACTTTGGGGGTATGTGTAGAATTAATTAACAAAGTTCTTGTAGTTATGCACACTTCTTGAATGATTCTGTGTTTCCAAACGCAACAAACAATGTTTGTGTCTTGAAGGAGAGCCCAGTGTTGCAGGAGAGATTGGCTTTTGCCATAAACACATTTGGATATAGACTTCTATAGAAGCTCATCAGAAAGAAGAATCGGAATTTTGTTGATTTTCTGCATTTAACTCCTCCACACTTGCAATGCACACGTATTTATAAACTTCTAGATCAGGGTAATCCTCTAATATCGTACAGAGGTGATGCCCATGGAAGAAGGTGCCCTGAAACTGTATTACAATGAAGAGAAGGAAGTTTCAAACATGAATCAATTTGAATAGGAAACAAAAGAACCTTCTTCAGCAACAAACAGGAACATCCATTAAACCAGCCTAGAAACTTGGCACCATCACAAAGAGGCTGAGGTAACCCAGGACAACATCTCTTCCAGACTGAAAAGGATCCACAGAATCAATTAGCAGTTCATTCTTTAATTAAATGAAGATTTACACAAACAACAGAACACTTAAAAGAAGTATAGGCACATATTGCCACAGAGGGGTTTCCTACAGCACAGAAAACAGCCTTCAATTCTTTATTCTCCCAGTTTGGTTTTTGTGCAACAAAGACAAAGCCCAGAGTCCAATAAACCCCAAACATGAATTACCTGAACTCCTTTTTTACTTTTCAAACAGAAGGAGGAAATTAGTTCTGCTAAAGATGATGAGAACAGTCATTTTGCAAATGATGCTGTGAAGCTGATCAGAAGGGAATGTGTTGTAGCATAACTGCCCTATTTCAGTGCATCATCCTCTAATAACAATGTGCAGCATGGCTCTGCTTCACTGAGAGGGAGAGAGTGCTACATCCAGCAGGCACCTCAGTACATGCACATCCCAGAGAGAAGCACCCTCCCTTCGTTGGAAGGCAGCCATTACCTAGCTTGAGCCTTTCAGATTCTCATTTCAGGACAGAGATAGAACTTGCTTCATTGGCTGCAGCTATTTGCTGTTTCCAGTTATGACCCTTGTGATTAAGCCAAGCTCCGAGCCCTGAAATCCTCTTCTGAAACGGCGAACAGCTTTTGTTCAACAACATAATAGGAAACCATTTCTTGGCATCCAACCAAATAAGTATTTGAGTATTAGCTTTTCAAAAGCTATCTCATTAATTCAAGAAAAAAACCTCTTTAGATTTGTTTTGCTGAAATAGACAACGTGTTACACTAGGCTGCAGCTTCTGACAGCTGTAGGTAGAGAGTACTTCCCTTCCTTGCTGCTGGCATCCATGCCCTGAGCATTCATTTGTTTGCAACGGCAGAAAGCTGGTCCCGAATCCTTCCCAGACCTTCTAACATAGTATCCAGGGTTTCTTTGCTCAGTTCCACAGTCAGTGCAGAAACAACAGGATTATTTCCACATAAAGCAGCATCTTCCTGAATCTTAAAATAGGAATGCAGATGTTAGTTGTATGAAAAATTAATTTATGTGTTCTTCCAGAGCCGCTACAAAATGTAGTGTTTAATACATGGATTAAACAAAATGGTCTGAATTTGGAATCCAGCTTCATCCTGAAGAACCATGGCACATTTTCTAAGCTGTGTGCCTCACTAGTGAAGTGCACTCCCATTGACAGATTGCAAGTGAGCATCTACTGCCGTGAGTATTGGGACAATTTGAAGATAGTTGTGGCAAGAAGCCACATCTGTATCAAAAGCATCTCAGCAGATACCACAGAGGTACCACATTAACCCCACCCCACATACAGAAATTAGATTTTAATTCCTCCTCTGAATCCCACTCATCTGATTTTTTATTGGTTGGGGGGATCCAAAACTCTTCAGAACACAAGCAGAACACAAGCAGTAAGTTAGGTATACTCCCCAAATGACAGATGCAGCTAGTGAAGGAAGTTATTAGTTATCTCAAGTAATTTCCCAACTAATGAAGTCAGCTAAACATGCTGATAGACTGCTTAAAATTAAAGGATGATGGCTTCATGATTTATCTTCTTTTTTCCTGTAGAAAACAATGGTGACTAGGAACAAACATGGTGACTTCTCACATCCTCATGCACACAAAACTTCTGTGCAAGAGAGCTTTCATCAGAGACACCGTTCCCATGCTCTGTGGCATTTCAGGTATCATCTCTGAGAAAGTCCAATGGCCCACCAGGCATGAGGCAAGCACCAGATGCCTGTCTGAACTGGTTTTCCCTGGCCAGTCAGGTGTTGGACTTTGTTATTTGGGTCCTTCACAGCCACTGCCATTACCTTTAACTGCAGCAGGCAGGTAGGGACTGCCATTCTTACGATGCTGTCTGAAGATGTCTTGATGTCCACCCTCCAGTCCATGTCCACCAGCCGAGGCAGGGAGACTGGGAGATTAAAAATGGCTCTGTTAGGCTCAGCTCATGTGGTATCATGGTGATACCACAGCCTGCAACCTGTGACCACCACCATGCACAGGCTTCTCCACTTCTGGCCCTGGGAAGTGTACAAGTTTAGTTCCTACTATGTGGTTTCCCATCATTTTACTCTGGAATAAGCCAGTCTCTGAAGACCTCCTCATGACACTGGAAGGGCAAAAAGGGTTCTCCCATCATTACATGCAATGACAGTGCAGTGCAAGAAGCAGAGATAAATTTCCAAAGTAGCTGGGAGAAGGAGAGCAGTAAGATTCTTCTCCCCATCTTTATGCCCTGCCTTGCTGCCTGCTACACTCAACTGGTGTTTCATTGTGAGTTGCTCTGGCACCTGCATGCTTATTGCTCTGCTCTGAAACTGGTACGAAAGCACTCAGGAAAGCTTGTAAAATCTGGCAGTATCAAACGTTATTTCAAGTTCCCCAAAGCATCCTGCAGTACAGCAAATATACTGACAAACTGCAATCCTCACATTCCTTAAAATTATTTCAAATATCACCCTAATTACATGCAGCCTAGCAGAAACCATTTAACAGGTGCTTTACGGACATCAATAGCTCAGAGCTGGAGACCTCCTGGGGCTACCCAAGGAAAGAAACACCAGTTTAACATGGCTGCTAAGGAAAGAGCTGTCTCAGTAGGCAATTGCAGCCTGTTTTAAGATGCTTAGTGTCTTCCCCAGGGGTTGATTGCCAGCCTTCCTACTCACTACAGACACTCAAGTCACTTTCTCTCTGTGCTTTATTGTCTGAATTTTTTTTCTGTCTGGGGAAAGGCTCTCTCTCCATGCCCCTGCTGCTTCCTTGCACAGAGCTCCAGGGGGCAGTGCACAACTGGCTGCCTTGCTCCTGCTTTTGGAACAAATTCCAGTTCACAGTCTGTCAGGGCCAGCACTTGGCAGCACTTGCAACAGCACAAAATACATCTGTTAAGCCTTGTATGTTAATTTGCAAAGATTGATTGCTGGTGGCTTGGGAGGGGCAGGAAACCATTCACTTTTTTATGTTAACACAGATCAATCTGTTGGAATGTCTGCCTTGGACCACTGCCTTGGTCCCTATGTAATGCATGTCAAGATACTTTTATAAATCCAATACTAAGTTAATCCATTATTTCCTAGCAGACAATCTCATTCCTGAGATTACTACTTACTCTGACTGGCTTGTGCTTCATTCCTCCAAGCAGAGCTGTGAAAAAAGTGGAGAAAACAGTATCAAAAGTGCTTTTAGAAAAAAAAAAAAAAGAGGTAAGCATTTAGCATGGCTTATCCCTGACTGAAGGGTCACCAGCAGTAAGCAGGAGACAGAGACTGCCTATGCTACTGAGTGCCATGGAAAGGCTGGGACTGGTGGCTAGTGGCAGGCAAACTGGTGACCAACCATGGGTTCTTCTGGAAGGGCAGCTCGTTTAAAGCCCACACCTTCCTCCCTGGTCTAATCAAAGCCGTGGGCTCCAAGCACTGAGATGTGCAAGCACAAGTCCCCTCCCCTGCCACCACCTCATGTATGCTCTATCACATACAGTGCCTCTGCACCTGAGCCATGGTGACAAGTGGATGGATATATAGGTACCACCTAGATCTTCTAGAGCTGAAATCCAGCCTTCTAAGTTTTATCATCAACAGTAGCATTTTTCTCACCACACAGCTGTTAAGATAAAAGGGGCTTTGCATATTAGGAATGTGGCACACGTCTGTTTCAGAAGTCATGGGAAAACTCTGTGTGCCCATGGCTGTTTCATTGGCCATTTACAGAAACAAGACAAATACCCACGTTGCCAAATATCCACATATCAAACGGCATACACAGGCTTTAAATCTCCAGCTGAAAGCAAATGGCAAGTGGGTAGCACTTACATATTCTCCAAGATTATCTTAGTTAAGAGGTTTTTCAGGTTTTGGTGGAAGTTTTCTGGGAAGAGACGGAGGATGTCTTCTGCCCCGGTCAAGCCGCGGTACACCACGTGCCTGGTGAGGTTGTGCAGAGCAGACACCAGCTGTCAGGAGACAAGAGAAGGGCTGCGCTGAGAAGCATTACATGCAGCACAGGACGGGCCCTCTTAGCCAGGAGACACAGCTTATGCTGGAGACCCTCACCACCAGAGCCCTGAGCATCCAAGTACGGCCCGACGGCCTCAGCAGGACGGGGCCGAGCTCCTCAGCGCCCCCCGGTTCGCAGCCTCCGCCCGCTCCCTTCTGCCGCGGGCGAGGGTCGCTGTTCCCGCGCACGTCTCGTTTCCCGCACCTTCCCCGTGCTGGCACCGGCACAGTCCCGCTCGTTCCCTCCCGCCGGGGCCCGCGGCTGCCCTGCCCGGCCCTACCTGCTCCGCTTCCTCGGCGCTGACGGCGAGCCCGGGGCAGGCGCGCTGCGCCAGCGGGCCGAGCGCGGCGGGCGGGCTGGAGAAGCACTCCTGGCACAGCTGCCGCACAGCGTCCTTCGACGGCGCCTGGCGGGGAGCAAAGCGGGGCCGCTCAGCCGCGGCCCGGCAGCGGCGGCCCCGGCCCCCCGCGGCCCGGCCCCGCTCACCTTCAGCAGGATCTGCAGCGCCGCAAAGTCCCCGTCCCGCAGCGCCGCCATCTTGGCGCCGTCAGCGCGGCCGCGCTCCGCCCGCCGCCATCACGCGCCCGTCACCGGGGCGGGGCCGGGGACAGGGATGGGGACAGGACCGGGGCAGGGATAGAGACACGGACACGGACAGGGACCGGCGCACGGAGAAGGGACACGGACACGGACACGGACGGGACGGGGGGCAGGGACAGGCACACGGATAGGGACAGGGACGCTCTCGGTGTGTGGCACTGCCCCTGCCGCTCCACTCGGGGCGTTTTCTACTCGAGTGCAAAGCTCTGCCTCGGAGTTGAGCTGTAAACGCGCTGCTTTCAACCAGCGGGAACGGGAGGCGAAGGATTTATCACGGCACTGTGATGGCGATATGGACCATTATCCTTGCAAGCTGTGCCTTTCACTTTGTGAGGCATTTAAATAAGTCCTCTTTCTGAGAGAGAATGTCTTCTCTTTGCCTTGCGTAGCTTCCAGCACATCTGGATCCAGGGCATCACTAATCTATGGTCTTTCCCCGTCACTGCCTCTGTCACGTCCTCATCCTTATTTCCATCTGTGTTGGTTTGAAAGCAGAGTTTTGCACAGTGAGAAATGCAAACATAAATGCTTCTTCCACTGGGCTTCACAAGCCTGGCAGGAAACAGGGTTTACTCTTGTAGGGAAGCAGATTCTTACTACACATACAAGGATAGAACAGAAAGTGAAGGGAAGGATGGTGAAATATTAATTTTTTATTTCCAAAATGAAAGGTTTGCAGCTAGTGGTTTAAATAATAGCACCCCAGTGGGGAAAAAGCATGGGGTAGTGTTTAGAGGTTGGGGGTTAAGAGCTAGGAAACCAGAATCACATTCTCTTGACCCTGCTTCAGTCTTTTGATGAATCAAGGTCAGTTTGTCCCGAGTGCCAGGAAGGTAATGGCACTCTCTGTATAACACATAATGTCCTGCAGTGGTAAGTGTGGGCATTTATTAACATCAGCAGTAAGCGTGGCGGTTGTGAAGGGATAAACAGAATGGAGGCACTGTGAAAAAACAACACTGTGTTACAATCTGAGGAAGTATGCCTAAAGGAAACGGGGATTGTTCACAGGATATACTTGTCCTTGCATCGTTGACCTCTTATAATCTGCCTGCTTGTCTTGCTCCCAAACCAATAAGGCTAACTTTTCCTAAGAGGTAAGCAGAATTTTTCTAAGCAGTAACACTTCTGAAATGCCCTATCTAACTGGGGGAGAAGGACACAGCTTTTTTCAGAACCTTTCTAAAGCAACAAGTTTACAAGTCTTCAATAAAATCAGGTTGATCCATGCCTAGCTTATTGGGTTTCTGTGGCAAGGTTCTGGTAGTGGGAGGCTACAAGGATGGCTTTTTTGGCAAGTTGTTAGAAACTTCCCCCATCTTCAACAGAGCCTGAACTAACTGGCTCCAAGATGGACCTGCCACTGGCGAAGGCCAAGCCCGTCAGTGATGGTGGGAGCACCTCTGGGATAGCAGGGCTAAGAAGAAAAAACAAAAGTTATTGCAAAAGTAATTTGTCCAGCTGGAATCAAATCCAGCAGGAAGGGGTGGGGGAAGGTGCTTTTAGGATTTGTTTTTTCATTATCCTGCTCTGATTTTTGACTGGTGATAAATTCAGTTAATTTCTCTGAGTCAAGGCTGTTCTGCCCATGATGGTAATGTGAGTGATCTGTCCATGTCCTTAACTCATGAGCCTTTTGTTACACTTTTTCTCTCCTATCCAGTTGAGGAAGGGGGTGATAGAGTGGCTTTGGTGGGCACTGGGTATCCAGCCAAGATCAAACCACCACACCTGGGTTAAGGACTTAATAGTACAGAGTAACTTTGTCAGACAAGTAGGTGGAGAAATGGAAAGGATGGGAGGATGTAGGGTGGGGAGTGTAGATAACTGTCTCTGCCAGCTCTCACAGGAGTGTGTGGCAAGAGAACATTTACCTGTGAGTCACATACTCAGAACAAAGATGCTGCCTGCCAGTAAGCACAGCTGACATCCCACTGAATTTGTTCTCCAGTCCACCTCCTATTGCTGCCATTTCCTCACTCTGAGAGCCTTATAATTATGAAGAAATAATGACAGGTTTGATTTAATATCAAAATTGAAATGCTATTGTTTAATATCAAACTTGAAATAGCTGGAGCCAACAGAAGTGCTTAGTAAAATGCTTTATTTGGTTTGATCTTTTCTTCTTCCTTCCCTGCCTTCCTTCCTCTCCTCCTTCCTTCCTTCCCTTCTTCCATTCTTCTTTCCCTCCTTCCTTCCTCTTTCTTCAAGGTCAAGGCCTCCAAAATTAAATTATCATCAGGCATGAAGTGGGAGACTGCATCCTGTAAGGAAGGCTGGCCCTGTGATCAGTGTGATTGTCAGGAAGGTTTGAGAAACACCAGTTCAATTATCTGCTGTGCAAGAGACACTTCTCTCTGAGTTTGAAAAAAGAAACCCACTTAGGGGAGTGAGATGGATTGGATGTCCTCCAGAAGTGTTTTCTCACAGCCCTTTTTTTTACCATGATTTCATGTCTGTATCACCCAAGGGGACTCAGCTGTGAGTTCTGAGCCTGCAGATGAGTCACAGCACTGTCTGCAGGAATTGGGTTAGATCTCATGAACCAAATTGTCCAGTCATTGAGTCTGAGAATTAAATTTTGCCTCTGGGCTGGCAAATTTGCCTGCACCCAGTCTTGGGTGATACAGCTGGAGTACTGACTGATGTGATTCTCTCTTGGCTGAGCCAGCCTAGGGTATCTGCAAATCATTCTCCCTAAAGTACTATAGGTATTTTTTTTCTCCTTGAGAAGTAAAACTGGGAAATACTAAATTTAGCTTGCCTACAATTCTTACCTGGAGAACTGTAATCTTTTACACTCCAGGGAAAGAACCAACAGTTTTAGCTCACTTTGTCCATTTAAGGGTCTCTGGGAGAGAAATCCTTGGGATATCAAGGATTTGATGTCCTTGGGATATCAAGGATTTGATGAGAAGAACTATTATTTTTTCCCCACAGCATAGCCTGTATTCACTGGAGCATGCCTAGCAGAGGAGTGATCTCTTCCTTAAGGGCTTCCAGCTGCAAGGCAAGGCTCTGCTCTGTAACTGCTCCCTGCTGCATGGGTGCAATTTTAGTAAGAAAGTTGCCTATCCTTTTCAAATTAGAAATGCAGGATTTAGCTCCAAGGGAATGCATTAGAGAGGTGACATCAAGTGTGTTCATGGGCCTTGATGTAGACTGTGTAAGAGAGGAATGCTCTGTGTCCCAGCCAGTCTGTGGCTAAGCCCTGCTGAGCTTCAGAGAACAGGATGTCCAAACAGTCACCTGTAATTAGTATTTTGACACATATTACTTTTTGCTGGAATTCAGAAAGACTGATTGGTCTGTGTTATTGGGGAAAGTTTCTGATCTGATCAGTGAACTTGACAGGTAATCCTTGTTTAAACAGACTTAGGCAAGTCAGGTTGTTTTCATCTTCCAGTTTCCTACATTTATTCCTGTTGGTGAAACCCATTAACTATGTGACAGAGAACAGGCCAGAAGTACTGGGGATACACTATGGCCATGATTAGCAGTGCTGGCCTGGCTCTGCATGGCTGTGCACCCTCTTCATTGCCAGTCTGTTGCCTCTTGCAGTGGCCCAACAAAGTGCATGTAATGTACAATCAACACCCACTATTTGGCCCCATCTCCACTCACTAAGGACTTGTCATCTTGACAGGCTTTTATATTGTTAGGGTTTTTTAAGAAATGGAGCCAAACCATGTTGTTAACATTCGGGTTTGTACTCTTTCATGTCAGTTTTCAATCACTTTTCAGATGACAGTATTCCTTCCTCCCTGGCCTCTCAGCTGAAACAGCTGCACTTCCTTTTCAGTTTGGATTGCTGATACTTGAGACTCTTCAAATGGGACTGCAAGTTGGAGGGTAAGACCACTGCTGACAGATGTGATCCTTAAGGCTCGTGCCAGCAGATACTCTGTGTGCTCTGTAAGTCTGTGGACAGTTGCCTGCATTGCAGCTGGAAAATGAGCAGCCTCACACTGCTGTAAATCTGTATTAAAACTGGAAAGTGAGCAGCCTCACACTTGTAAAGAGGACATTGCACATTAACAGCTCATCTAAGGTAATTTTCTTTGCCCTCTGCTGCAAGACAATCCCTATAAAATTTGATAGGCAGCTGAGACTGCTCATGAGATCATGAATGTGTTCAAACTGCAAAGCATCATTGGGACAAAAAAAAAAGCTTTTTGAGTGTTTTCCAGCCAAATGTATTTGGCCTAAGCATCATACCAAGCCATTGTCTTTATTCAAGATTTTACAACCATTCATTGATGCTCACGAAACTCCTGGGAAAAAATTCTGTATAAGAATCAATGGAACTGCATCTGGTTTTATTAAGCAAATTAAATCATGCAACAAAACATTTTCCATGAGGTATTTGCAGCCCCAATGGCATAACAGAGTCAGTTCTGACAAGACAGGAGGAGCAAGCCAGCACAGACAAAAGCAAGACATTTAAAAGCTCTTATAAAAGCAAAAAAGTAAACCAGCCTTTCCTCCCCACTCTCCTTTTGAATGTCAGTGTCCCTTAGCATGATGTGATCATGCTGAAGCTGAACAAGGAGGCAGAGGCCAGCACCAGCATGGGCTCCCAGCTGCTGGAGGCGACCACCACTCTGTGCAAGCAGCTGTGCAAATACAGAGGGGAAGGCAGCAAGGGAAAGCTCAAACATGCTGGGGCTCACAGGTAAACTGGTCAACAGCAGCTGCCAGAAGTGTGTCCTGTGAGACAAGGTGTGTAACCAGCAAGCCTCAGATGTGCCTGGTTCAGTTGCATGGCTTGTCTCTTCCAGCAGAGGAGGTGACCTGCCATGGCAAGCAGTTGATGACCTCTGTTACTGGGAACCACTGCTGGTAGGAGAGCAGTTTCTGCACATCTGTGGGGCCTCAGGCCACCTTGGTGATTTGTGGCAGTTTAGCCTGTAGAGTGAAGCATCAAGTGCCAGCTCTGGAGCTGCAGTGATGCCA